CAGACTTTCTCTTTTCTTTTTTTCTTTTTTGGTCGGTCGTGGGGCTTAAACGCTGGGCTTTGATCACTGTCCCCTGGCTCTTCAGTTAAAGGCTAGTGCTCTACCACTTGAGCCACAGTTCCACTTCCGGTTTTCTAGTGCTTTATTGGAGGTAAGAGTCTCATGGACTTTCCTGCCCGGGCTGGCTTTGAATCGTGATCCTCAGATCTCAGCTTCCTGAGTAGCTAGGATTACAGGGGTGAGCCACCAGTGCCTGGCTTGATTATGCTATATATAAGAATAGATTATTGTATTATAAAAAGAGCAAAAAGAGACCTGAGGATCTATGGACCAGACTAGAAGACCTGGAAATAAAACCATATACTTATAGTTATCTGATATTTGAGAAGGAACCCAAAATATACAATGGAAAAAGATAGCCTCTTCAATTAATTGGTATTGGGAAAACAGGGCATCCATATGAAGAAAACTAAAAGTGGTTCCCTGTTTGTCATCATGCACATACCGACTCAAAGTGGTTCAAAGACCTCAAAATCAGACCTGAAACGTTGAAATTACTGACAGAAATAATAGGAGAAACTCTAGGACTTACAGGAAGCAAGTTTTTGAAGAGTCACAGGGGCACAGCAGATAGGATAGAAACTCGACAAGTGGAATTACATTAACATAAAAAGTTTCTGCACAGTAAAAGGCATAGTTACTGAACTAGAAAGATAGCCAGTAGACTGGGAGAAGAGCTTTGCCAGCAATATATCAGAAAAAGGGCTATGATTAAAAATATATAAGGAGTTCAAGAAACTAACGCCTCCCAAAGCTAATAAGCTTTAGGCAAAGGAACTAAGGAGAAACTTCTCAGAAGAGGCAAGAATAGCAAAGAAACACATAAGGAAATGCTCATCATCCATGTACATAAAGGAAAGGCAAATCAAAACAACCCAGAGTTTATCTCACCCCAGTAAGACTAGCCAACATTGTGAATTTGAACAACAAATATCGCAGGAATGTGAGCATTCCTTGAATGTTCTGTTGGTGGGAATGTACACTAGTACAATCACTCTGGACAACTGTTTGGAGGTGCCTCAAAAAACCATGTGTATATAATATGTATACATACATATATATGTATATATACATATATACGGATATATATACATATATGTATATATGTGTATATGTGTGTGTATGTATATATATATATCTTCCCTACCTCCTAGCCATACCACACCAAAGCATCTACCAGAATATCACAAGTCAGGATACCATAATGAAACTTTCACATCTATGTTCATATGGAAACGGCCCACATGCCCTAAAATAGGTGAGTTAATCCAAAAGATGTGGTACCTATATACAATGGAATTTTACACAGCCATTAGAAACAATAATATTATGTCATTTGCAGAGAAATGGATGGACCTAGAACAAATTATGTTAAGTGATGTAAGCCAAGCTCAGAGAGACAAATGGCACATGTGTTCTACATGCAGATGTAAGCTACCTCTAAAATACACTGGGACATGATGAATTATACAGGACTTTAGACATTCAGACACAGTGAGACCAAAGGAGGATAGTCTTATGGAAGGAACACAAAGATGCAAAGGCTATCTGCCTCTGGTCACAATGAACTCCAAGAAATGGAAATTAGTTTCTTTCTTCATTTTTGTTTCCTTTCTTCTCTCTTATTTGTTCATTTATGTCTTTTGGTGAGGATAAAGTAGACATACAAATGAACAAATGCAACAATGCTACTCAATAGACACTATGTTGGAAATTAACTGTACAACTTGTGGGTGGGACAGGAGCCAAAAAATGGGAGATATCAAGGGAATGATGTCATTGTCCAAACAGAAATGTACTCTTTACCTAAATTATGTAACTAAAAGATAACTAAAACTCTTCTGTATATCACCTTTATAATAACTATAAACTCTTTTTTTTGGGGGAGTGGGTCTGGTCATGGGGCCTGAGCTCTGGGCCTGGGCGCTGTCCCTCAGTTCTTCAGCTCAAGACTAGAGCTCTACCACTTGAAGCACAGCACCACTTCCAGCTTTTATTTAATGCTTATGTGGTCCTGAGGAATCAAACCCAGGGCCTCATGTATGCAAGGCAAGTGCTCTACCACTGAGCCACCTTCCCAGCCCAATAACTAAATTCTTTTTTAAAAAGAATACATCATTTTATAGATAGAAATTAAGACTCAATTTTTGGTTTGGTATTTGTATGCCATATTGCTACAATTTTAAGTATCTAGTTCTGAGAAAACATGCAGTGTGTGTAAAGTGATTAATATTTAAATAGTGTCAAGTAGTAGTAAATAATTAGATATTATTTAACAATCCCTTTCATTATTTTTCATCAACCAAAATTTCAGCAAAGTTAATAGTATGTGCCTAACTATCATACTTTATGTGCTTCAGAAATACGTAACAAATTTTTTATTTCATATTAATATATTATTTATTAATGTTATATATATTTAAAATACACTAAGGTAAGAGAAGCTTAGAAAAATTAAGTGGTATACTAGTAAATCTTATAGAGAGTATATGAACCCAGCAGTAGCCAACTCCAAATCCAACACTTTTGATCATCCCAGTTCTAAAACATTTCCAAATTCTCTTCTCATTGAGACAAATATTTAAATTGGTGTCTTATTCAAGTCCTTGAATGATTTTTATGTACTAAAACCTACTTTACACAAGTATAACTTTGATGCCAATTGAACCCAATTAAGTTCTCAATTGACACAGACTCTATAATTCTGTTTTTCCCAGGGTGCTGTCACAAATGTGGAAATCTTCACCTCCAGTAGCACAGTGAACCATACTTCAAGCTTGAAGTTCTGGATTACCGATTTACATATACCTAATAGAGTTCTTATTCCTAGGAAAGTTTACCATTCAGTAAAAAGCCTCCTTTTTTCTAAAGAAAAACCTGACTAGGACAAAAGATTAGATTCCAAGTAGTTCTTATTTTAAATCCTATTTTAGAACCTTAAATATTTTCCTCAATATATCATAAATTTAACTTAAATAAGAACAGAAGAAAACCAGGTGAAAAAGAAGTGACAAAAGAGGGATTTTAAAAAAAGTCAAGAAAAACATTCAATTGAGTCCACGGCTTACATACAAAATCCTAGCCACTCAGGAGGCTGAGATAGGAAGGGTCACAAACACTAGACAAGAAAGGGAAAAAAATCAAATATTCCATGTATATTATTCCATAATAATCAGCAAAACATGTAACTGGTAGCATGGCTCAAGGGTTAAAGCACCAGCACAACAAACAATCTAAGTAAGCAAGTTGACCAAGCATGATGCTCTGAAGAAAAATCCTGGGACTGGCAAAAAAAAAAAAAAAAAACTTTCTTTAGAAAACAAATGAAACTTTTAGAGCCTTCTGTCTAGGAAGGGCAAAAATGAGAATCTATACATAAGAAAGCCTGGGCTTTCAAGACAAGATTATACAGTAAGGGAGGAAGAATGGAGTAAGAGAAAATTGTGTTACATTATTTCTGTTTTACTTTGCTTACTAAACCAGAGCAACACATTGCTTCACAATTAAAGTATCTAAATAAAATCAGTATAATCAATACAAAAATAATAAGCTGCAATCACAATTATACAAATCATGTTTTAGGCAATGCAAAATGGATTTTGTGCATGATATTTCATTTAATCTATAAAACAGTCATAAAACACTGGCTGTGTTATAATGCCATTTTATATTTGGAGAGACAGAGCTTTGTAAAAGGTTATTTACCCCAGGACTTTCAGCTAGCAAATGACAAATTAGACTCTGAACCCAGGCAATCTGATTCTTAGAGGGCGTATTTATCCTTTACACTCAGTAATCATAATTTCAATTTTCTTGTTCCTACTAAGACACTAAATATGTTTCTGGACAATTTAAAGCACTGTGATATGAATATAGTACCTGGGATCTTAATAAGAAAAGCTCTGAGGAATACAGTGGTAAATCAATATCAATCCAGGAGCATGGGAGGTTTTGCCATTTTTTAAGTGCTTTGTATGTCCCTCCCCCACAGTGTAACCCCCGCTTTCACTATATTTGATGTCAGTATAACATGTGGAGGAGATGGGGACAAACAAGTCGTTTAAGGATTCAGGTGGACCTGTTGCAACAATGAGAAGTACAAAATGTCATGTCAAAACCAGCTTTACAATGTCAGTGGGGAGGGGGGGTGGGAGGGTATGATTGGGTGGGAGGGAGGGGGGAGGCTGGGAAGGGAGGTGAAGGGTAAACAAAGGAGGAGGCTGCAATGCTTGGTAAGAAATGTATGCATTATCCTGTCCATGTAATTGTAACCCCTCTGTACAGTATGTTCTCAAATAAAATAAAATTAAATTAAAAAAATAATAATAATAAAAAAAAATGAAGCTTATCAAATTGAACTCCAAGAAATTGAAAAAAAAAATCAATATCAAGCTAGTTACCCATTAGGTGGCAGGAACCTCTGCCTATTGCTATAAGATCATACTCTTAGAAAATATGAACTGAGAACAATTTGCAAATCAATTTTAAGATGGAAAAACTCAAGAGAAAGATTTTTCGGAGAATGGAGATGTTTTCTTGTGATCATGAGTCCATAAAAAACAGAGCAGTGATAGAAATATTACCACGGCTTTCAGCAATGGATATGAATATTCCCAAATGTTGCATAAACAACTGATGTGGAGTAGAAGGCTGGAGTAATAAATAGCTACACAGGAACCCCCCACACCACACTATTTGGCCTCACTATTCCTAAGACAGCATCATATCCTTCCTGAGATAAAGTTTAAAAATTCATACACATACCTACACATAAGTCAGTGATTGAGTCTAAAAGAAGTTAATACAATTAATAGCTTCTTTGAGGAATTCCATACATAAGACTTCTATTTTTTATTTACTCAGAGTAATATAACGTGAGGCTAAGGGAAATGACAAAAATCTTTTAATACCTTTATTCCAAAAATAAACAAAATACTTACATTATTAATAGAAGAGCATACTGGTTTCGGTCCATAAAATCTTTGGGAAAGGACAACTGTAAAGGAAGTTCTTTTAAAGAAAGAGCAAAATATTAAAGATGGACAGTCATTTATATGAAAAACTATAAGATGCAGAGAAAGTTGATTTGAGTAACATAATGTGTACAAAACTTTACCATAGTCGTCAATATGAAGGATTTTAATTTCAGGTTTTGTTGTCTTCTTCTTCTGAATAGCTTCCCTTAACATGGAATTATTTTCCAATATAAAATATTCTGTGAATAAAAAAGTTATCATAAAGCCAATGCATTAATCAGGAGTTAGTGTGATAACACAAAATATTTTGCAGCTGCTATCTTTTAGCAGGCATTGTGCTAAACACAACTCTCGCAATTTGTCTTCTAAATTATAGCGACAATTCTCCAAGTGGACTTGCTTATTTTCTTGATTTGCTTTCTGAATTTGCTCTGATATATAGCAATGACCATCAACATTTCAAAAAGAAACTCTGAATCCATGACTACTTTGTTTCAGAAAATTTGAAGAAAATGTATAATTATCTAGCACAAAATAAGATAAAATTTGAAGTCTCTAAAAACCAACAAAATGCTTAGATGTTCCAGGCACCCATGGTTCATGCCTATAATCCTAGCAACTCAGAAGGCTAAGATATGAGGATTGTGGTTGAAGCCAGTCTGGTAAAAAATTCCATGAGACTCTTATCTACAATGAATCACCTGAAAAAGGCCAAAAGTAGAGCTGTGGCTCAAGTGGTAGAATGTTAGCCTTGAGCAAAAAAGCTCTGAAATCAAGTCCTAGGACTGGCACAAACACAAAGTAAATCATAACAATAACAAAAACATCTCAAAATGAGGAAAAACTGTTAACCAGCAAATGACTTTGCTGATAACATTCCTAGATAAAAAGCATTAAAAGAGACTGCAACCAAGCTTCACTTATTAAGGTGGAGAAAGAATGACCATGTTACAGATGCCAAAAAAATACTATGGAATGTAATACTATGGAAATTGAACAACCTAAGAGGAAACATATAATTGCTAGGATTAAAAGATTATTAGATTACAGAGAAAAGTTTAATGGAATTGACAATATAGTAATTAAAAATGTAAAATGAAAAAAAAAACATGAAAGGAGCATTAGTAAATTTCTGGCATTTTGATTTATATAGCATTATATTTATAGATCTACTTGGCAAGAATTTATATTCTAAAAACAGGAAGTTTCAATCAAATCTATTTGAATATATATGTGAGAGAGAGACAGAAAGTCAGAGAGAGAGAGAAAAAGACAGAGTGGAAGCTGAGAATGTGGGACAGAGAAAGATACTCAATGTATTTGAATATTTACTTTTTCCTAGATAAGACTTTTATCTTTCATTTTAGGGGACTTAAATATTTCTATGAGATGTATTCTGAGATAGTATATTTCTTCAGTGTCATTTTTAAAAGGATGTTAAATTTCTTTCAACTTAGGACATATTTAATAAAAAATCTGAAATTTTTATATTGAGCACTATCTATAGCTTTGATCAATTAATTCCTTTATCTGTAAAAGCTAGCTTTGTTCAGGGGTATTCCATGGTCTTTTGTTTGCTTGTTTTCTTTTAATATTTTGTATTCAAGTTTGTTGTCTGTGAACAGAGCCTGTTTCTCCTTATAATATCTTCCTTGCCTGGTGTCCAGGAGAAGCTGTATATAACACAGTGCTGTGTACACCACACATGCTTGACCTTCCCAGTTCTGAGGAAAGATCAGTCTTTCTTTCATCATATGGACTATTGTACATTTTGCAGATAAGCACTCAAGTTTTATAATTTCCTTTCTGTCTTTATATTGCAAGGTAATTATTACTACAGTGGTATTGTATTTGTCCAATGTATCAAATATATTTTTTCTAAACCCTCTGAGATGTCTGTATTGTATGGTAAAACATAATGACTAAAGGTGAACAGTAGGTTGCTCAGGTATCATCAGGTCATAAAGTATTATCATATTTACAAATTACTAGGTCTGATTTACTAGTATTTAGTGAAGGAATTTAGCATCTAAACTTTTGAGCAATTTGATCTTGCTTTCTCCTTGTGTTTCATTCAGAATATGGATAATTCAGTTCTTCTATTTTCTGAAAAATAAAGTCTGTTCAAGCTTTGTGTTAATTTAGTAAACAATGGTGAAAGGAAACACAATTATATTTGTGAGAAGAATGTTAGTTATGAATTACAAATATTTTATAGATAATAGAATATTTATGTATCACTTCAGTTTTGTTTCACTTTTTAAATCAGTGTTTTAAATATTTTTTCTACTGTATCTTCTGAATTGCTTCCCTTCTGTTAAGACATATATTGTCATTTTGGTCACTACATATGCTGTGTGTAGATGCAACACATTTTATTATTGGTGATTTGCAAATTTTTTTTTTTTTTTTTTTTTTTTTGCCAGTTTTGGGCCTGAACTCTGTGCCTGGGCGCTCTCCCTCAGCTCTTTGGCTCAAGGCTAGTGCTCTACCACTTGAGCCACAGCATCACTTCCAGCTTTTTCTGCTTATGTGGTACTGAGGAATTGAACCCAAGGCCTCATGAATGCAAGGCAAGCACTCTACCACTGAGCCACCTTCCCAGCCCGCAAATTTTTCTTGATCTCTGTTTTATGTATGGCATTTAAATTTTGTTGAGATTTATTCTGCTTTAATTGCTTGTATATTTTTAAATTCTTTATCAGATTTTGAAAATAGTTATTCTTTCATCACATATTTTACAAGCCCATGCACTTCCTGACTCTGATCAAAAATATCCTGGATGTAGTGATTGGCCAATCATTAACCAAGGTACTCTTCAACTCTTCATTTCTTTTTTCTTTTTTTCTTTTCAAAGCTTTATTAAGAGCAGGGCACAAAAACTGGAGGCTTGAGGGCTTACCAACCTCCTGTCACTGGGGTGGGGGTGTGTGAATGGGACATGAATTAAGTCTTTGCCTAAGCTGGGGCTGGAGAGGGGAGGCTGAGGGAGATTGGAGAGCGATCTTCAGCTTTGTTGCCGCCTTCCACAGCCGGTGGGTACTCTTCATTTCTTTCACTCTCTTTCTCTTTGTGTCTGGAAATGTCTACCCATAACGTTTCAAAATCACCAATTTTTTTCCTTTTCTCTTTTATTATCTACTCTATTTTTGTGCGTTTTCCATTAATTAGAATAATCTGACAACATTATTTTAATAAAGGGACCACACTGATGTGGGTAGGAGGAGCACTGAGATGTGGAATGACATAAGGCCTGTCAGAGTGGCCAGGACTGAAGGACAAGTAGAGACTATTAGACTCCTCATACATACACACATGCTAAGTGGTGGCAGACAACCTGTGGGAAGATAATCACAAAGCATCTTCCTTCCTCTCCAGTTGTCAACAAGATTGGCTTCAGATGAATCCACTTTGCAACCCCAAGGTAACCAACACAAGTCATCTCCACAAATGGTTTCAAAGTCAGAAGATGAGGAAGAGAAGGACTAAAAAAGTTCAAAGTGATTCTGGAAGGACAGTAGTTGAGGGAGCTGAGTAATATGCCATTAAACTTTAGTTACAATATCCAATCCTATGTTATTTATAATATCTGTTGCTATGACCAATAGATTTGTTTCAAAATTTTAATTAGACTTTTCCCCAGTATTAAGTAGGAAAAGAAAAAAAAGATGTAAATGATGGAAGTCTTGAGACTGAGTTATTATTTTTCCATAATGTGTTTGAATTTATACTTTTGCATCAAATTATAAGGGCCTCTGTATCATCATCATCATCATCATCATCATCATCATCAAGGTAAAATTTGTATGCTACTAGTTTATCAATAAAATTTATGTGATTATAATATACCCTGCTTTCTTTGATAACTACTAAGTTACAAAGTCTTCCAAATTTGTTAAATATTTCATTTTTTCCCACTATTCTCCTGTCTTTTCTACTTCCTGTGGTTCCCAAATGAGTTATGACTGACTCCTTACTTTCTTTCATTAACCCAAGATGTCATTGTGTGGTAAATTTTATCTCCATGAGTAATTGTCCTCTAAAAAGCTAAGAAAGCACCTTATCCTGGGTAACCATCCACTTTTTAATTGTTCTTGATCACTATACAATCAGAGTTGGCTTCTGAAAAGAATGATCAGAAGCTCTCCCTCAGGAAGACATGTTTCATAAATTTCAGCAATGTTATGAAAAGTACTGTCTTGTAACAGTAGGATATATTTATATTAAAATCTTATCAAGTATTTCCTTTTAATTACCCATTGTTAAATGTATAATATGCATTGTGATGCAAATAACTGTCATCCATTAAGAGCATCCTATGACAAATGTATCTTATTATACTGCAAGCATACTGGTTTACCTGACTACCAGGAAACTGAACTTAGTAACTCACTATCATAGCTCTCACGGGAAGTAAGGGGTAGACCCATTTTACACAATGATTTTTCTGTCTACAAATTTTACCTATTTTATTAATCATAGTGTCATTTTTATCATTATTTTTTACTATTCGTATAGAATGAATTTAATTTGTTTAATATAGTCTCTTAAAGACATATATAAAATACAGGGATAAAGGAACAAATAGTAACTAAACTATGTTGAAAGTAATACAGCCATAAAAAGGAAAGAGCATGCAATTGGAACGTGTTTTGGTCTAGTATAGCTGGTAAGTCAACATACGATATTATTTGAGAGGTATGAATTGTCTCTTTTTCCAAAATGACACAGCATTCAAATTTTTAATTTTATATCTGTATATCTCTAATTCAATGCTTCTAAGATGCATACTTTGCAAGTGTGATAGTTTGTAATTACTGCAATATGATGATAGTAAATTTACCATTATATTGCAGAATTACAAACTATTCTAGAGTCAAGCTGCCTAATTTGATTCTTGGCATTGCCATTTCTCTTTAAATGACTTGTTAGCTTATTTAGTCTCTCTATGACTCATTCCTCATTTATAAGCAAAAGATAATATAATTTAACAATTTGGTGAGGTTTTCAGGATTAAATAGTTAATTAGTATAAACCTCAGATTATAGTAGATTGACAAATCATTAGAACATAAAATTGATTAAATAAATCTAAATAAGTAAAAGAAGGAAATAAAAGAAACAAGTGAGAAAATGTCAGAAATCCATCCTGATATATATTTCTAATATTAGGTCATATTTATATTTAATGTGTGTGTGTGTGTGTGTGTGTGTGAGTGTGTGTGTGTGTGTGTGTGTGTGTGTGTGCATGGTGCTGTTCTTAGGGCTTGAACTTGGGGCCTGGGCACTGTCTCTGAGCTTTATTGTTGTTGTTCACCTGGAGGCTGGTGCTCTACTGCTTGACTACAGCTCCTCTTTTAGCTTTCTAGTGGTTAAGTGAAGATGAGTCTCATGGACTTTCCTAGCCAAAGTGGCTTCAAACAGTAATTCTCAAATCCCAGCCTTCTGAGATTCTCAGCATTTTCAGCACAAACCATGGCAGTCCAGCTTCAATTATATATTTATTATCTATTCTATATATGTTGTTAAACACATCACTATCTTATCAAAGTAGCCCTGGCTTCTGTCACATTGCTTGACAATGCAGTTACTCACTGTAATAAACAAAGAAAAAATGGGTAAACATATAAGTGAATTGAAGTGAATGTATAAAGCTAGAAGATATAAATATCTGTAATACATGGAATCCAAGTTAGTTAAAATAATAATCTATTTTCACATGTCCTAAAAAGTAACTGTTATTGAAATACAACCTTTTGGAGGCCCAGGAAAGAACGACCAACAGAACTAATGTGTAAAAAGCTGCATTGTACTTGCTGCAGCAATTACTCATTAATTGGACTTAGGTAGCCCAGATATCCTAAATAGATCAACCCTAATCTATAACATAGCTGGAATCACTTGCTTTATTGCTTCCCTTACAAATATAAGATCACATTTATTGTGTGCTCCAGTGTGCCTCCTGTTTGTTTTTTGAGGTAGCGTCCATAAAGTGTGACATAATAAATAATATAAAACCTACATGTAATACCAAATATAACTAAGTGGTCTTCTCATGTACTCACTTGCTACATTGTCCGTGCTATGGAGACTGACCACTGGGACCCTTGGACCTAGAGTTAAAAAAATAAACATTGTAAATATTTTTAGATACCTAATAATAGTTACTGGAGAGGTTACATGGCAGATTTATTTATTTTTTCCAAATGGGAGTGGTAAGGTAAATGACAAACACATTAGATAGATTCCATCCTTTTTATGAGTACTTCCTTCAGAGAATTAATAATACATGGGAAAGGAAATTATCTTCAGAAACTTCACTAACATCTCTCTCACCTCAGTGTTCTTTCTGTCTTTACTTCTATGACTAGCCAATCTTATGTGTTGTATTCTTCTATCTCTAGTCTTTAAGAACTAGTAAGTGCTGTTTAGAAAGCTGATTCATGACTCATTCCTCATCTGCTCATCCAAGATAAAACTCTGTTTACCACTCCCACGAAAGAAAGAATGCAATGCATAGTTGAAATATATTCACAAGATAAATGAAAAAATATTTGTGTCTATTTATAAATTATAAAAAGATATGAATGGGTATTCTCAAATATTTACAGTTCCTTTACATCAAGAAGCCCTATTTAATATCGAATGGTTAATTGCTAACCTGATTTAGTACTTTTCTTTTATCACTTTACATATCAAGAAAACAATAGTATTATGCTTTCATACACAGTACTAAATCTTAAAAACAATAACTTAAGGTTTAAACTGAAGCTGTAGACTTCAGTTGATCATGATATAAGAAACTCAGGAATTCCATCTCATCTCTAAGAAATACAATTCTATACTATGGAGAAAAATTCATATGACATACTAGAGGGACTGTATGGCCATGTAGGACACAGCATTGGAGTAGGAGTGGGGATGATGTAACTGCTCAGAACAGAAGACCACAGGAATAAATTCAATTTCTACAGATACTAAACTGCTTAACATACAGCCATTTTCTGACAAAATTCTTGCTTTCTTTAAAAAATAGGAAATTAAATTATTATTATGTAATGACTTTGTCAATAGAAATATATGCATTTACTTTCATAATTTTCTGAGATTTAAGTAAGCTTATTGGATTTGCATGCATTCACCCACTCCCAATTTCCATTTCTTGATGAAATATATGGATATAATTTGTATCCTAGTCCATCCGTTATTTAGAAACGTTAAATTCTATCCATGAAAGTAAGATATTGATCAATAAAAGAAATAAAATAAATGTTATCACTAATTATACATTATCTTACCTTCACAGAATAATAAGAAATGTTGATTCATGGGACTAAAACTGGCGTCAAAATATGTACATTGTTCTTTCATAAAGTTACACGAAATACATTGGCGATTCAATAACCCTTCAGTAGAGGCACTAGGGAAAGAAAATGAACAGATAGAAACAGAACTCTTACAGGCACTTGAGGCATGCTGCTTCCACATTTGAATAGCATGCAACACAAGTTGAAGAGCTACAACAGAGTTCAAGTAGAGCTCCTTCTAAATTATGATTTCCTCTACACAAGCAGTTCATGTCATTATTCATGTTAAACACACTTTTTTCTTCTCCGTAAAATCAAAATTATGTATACTTGAATGTATTTAACATGCATAGTATGTGGTTATAAATAAATTGACTTCCTTGTGATTCAATATAAGTCTCTGTTCCCCGTGTTTTCTTTATAGTTATGTTATGTGTATAGTCTTCAAAGAGAATTGAGTCTGATCAGCCTGCAATGGATAAACACATGGACAAATCAAAATGAAACTCCATTGAACAATGAATTGATGTTAACAAACAAGTGGAAAAATAGAAAACCAATTTCTTTCAATGGAATTTCCCATGAGTACTAAGTAACTATAACTATTAGGTAAAAGAATAAGTATTTCTAAAAGTCACATGAAATCAAAATCATGATATTCTAAATTCAGCAATCTAAATATTAGAATTTAGTGTGCTATATTTTGCTTAAAAATAATTGCCTTCAAATTTCCATAAGGAAAATACATTTTTGTGTGATTATACAGTTAATGTTAATAATAATATATTTAAAAATATTAGGAGGGCAAAGAAAAGCAACCATCATCTTTATCTTACAGGAAAGTTAATTAAGGTTAGAACATCAATAAATTCACTCAAGAATAGTATTTCTAAACTGAAGTGTTTATTTTTATCGATAAATTAGAATGCAATATTATGGTAGAAAACATTTTAAGGATATTTCCTTTTAAAACAATAACTAGACAAGATATTTATAATTGATTGAAGTGGAATAAAACCTGATAACAATGAGATGTACAACAATGAGATGTTGAAAAATGAACTTTACAACTTTGGCTGGGGGAAGAGTGGGGGTGGGGGAGATGGGAATGGATGGGAAGGGGAAACACAAAGGAGGAGGCAACAATGCTTGATAAGAAATGGACTCATTATCTTTCCCATGTAAGTGTAACTCCTCTGTATGGTATCTTCACAATTTTTTAAAAAAGAAATCTCTCTAAAAAAAAACCTGATTTGCGCATATATTTATGTATGAACAATATTTATGTTAACTACCATGTGCAATCTACACAGTCATGACAGATACAGTGATGTTAAAATGGGTCCACGAAGCACCAGATACCAATCAACAAGGTATTATGTGAAGATCTTACAAAGTCATCATTTCACAACTGGAACACAACTGAACTGATTATCATCCACACTTTTCCATGTATAGTGGAAGCACTTAACATTTTCATCTTTATTATGATGTATCAGATAAACATGTCCATTAATTTGGTTAGTAGTAGTAAATATATCTAACATTAATGGACTATTTTACGTTAAACAACTTAGTTTTGTTGATTGCAGTCACAATGTCATAGCACCATCTGCACAGTAAGCCTAAGAAATTGTCTTGGTCATCTAAATCTATTCAGTCAAAAAGATGAAAAGCCTTTCTCTCTTCTTCCATAAAGCTTTCAAAAATCCAGTTCCCAAGAGATTTACTTTGGTATTTTGTCATTATTTAGATTACACCATTGCCAAGATGAGAAATGCAAATTTTGAGACAGAAAAAAAATCATATTAAATATGGTAACAGTCTGATTCTCTAGGGAAGTCTTCTGCCATACATTAAGTTAACTAGTGATGATTTTTATAGCCTGAGGAAGACATTGATTGACTTTTCTGGGTTAAACACTAACATTATCTTCCAGTCAAGCAAAGTGACATTTGATGAGCTATTTAAGGGGAAATTTATGGGTGCTACATTTTTCTTTATAACACAGTCTTCTATACTTGTACAAGTCATAGATGTTTTGACTACTCTGTCTTAGTCAGGGGTCACAAAAGGCTAACTCACAAAGCTTTGGGGTTATTGTGATTCAAATCAAATTCCAAAGTAATAAGGGGAAAATATTACAACACTTCCTTTTGCTGATTTTGAACAAGTCTTGTTTTCTGACAAAAAGTCATGTCTTCTATTTTTTTATGTGTAAGAGTTTTATAAGTTGCAAGAAATAAAATATTGATCAATTGTTTGTCCATTTCTATGTATTATTGATGTCTACCAGCATGAATCACAAAAGATAAACTTCCAAATAGATAAACTTCAGGTCATCATAAAGCTAAAGTGACCATTTCTTTGATGAACACCTCTGAGCTCAAATTCAAATTGCTATCTCTTAACAGCCAGCCTGTTTTCCTCTGGTCATTAAATTTGAGAACAGAACATGGGTTCCAACAGGACTGAGAGAAAAGACTAAGCCTGTGATATAAGAAAATGACATATGGGAAAGATGATAAAGAAAGTTTGCTTCTGATGAAAGAAATCGATGCATGAATGAGTGTGTGGGTAAATTAGACAGAGATAAGATACTTTAAATATGCATTTTTACTCTCAAAGGTAATGGTGATGGTCTTCAAACATGAATAATTTCCACTGAGAATGTGACATAGCACTTTTAACACTTTAAAAATGGACCTGTGAAAAGACTTGGAAAAAATTATATTAAGTGAAGTAAGCCAAGCCCAAAGAAACATAGGTCCCATGGTTTCCCTTATTTGCAATATCTAGTATATGTATGAGTCAAGCAGAAAACGTCAGATAAGGGGATGTTAGGAAAATGAACCCTAAGATATGTATTCAAATGTTTTTTTTTCTTTCATGCATTTGTTTCTAACGCATTTATAAGATTATTTCTTTGTAGCTTTGTATGTCCCTCCCCCACAGTATAACCCTTGCTTTCACTGTATTTGATGTTGGTATAATTTGTGGAGGGGAAGGGGAAAAACAACTCGTTTACATAAGGATACAGTTGGACCCGTTGCAACAATGAGAAGTACAAGTTGTCATGTCGAAAATGAACTTTACAACTTTGGTGGAGGGGAGGAGGATTGGGTGAGGGGGCGGGGGGAGGCTGGGAAGGGATGGGAAGGGGAAACAAAGGAGGAGGCTGCAATGCTTGATAAGAAATGTACTCATTATTTTGCCCATTTAATTGTAACCCCTCTGTACAGTATTTTCACAATAAAAAATAAATAAATAATAAAATAAAATAAAATATGACATGCATCATTAAGGAAAAAAATGGACCTGTGAAAAGGAAACTAGAAAGTTTATGCATATAAAGTTGGACTTAATAGGTTGTTTCTAGCCAAGAAAAAGAAGTCATTATTGTGAGGTCTTGTGAAAGCTTTCTTGGTAAGCAAATTTAATGCTAAATAGCTATGCTCTTAATCCCTTCAAATGAATATAGCTTTGCATTTGGGAAAGCTGGGCAGATGGAAATGTTAACACATTATTTTATTTTATATTATTGTATTTATTTTGTGATATTGGGTTTTAAACAGTTTTTGAACATGTTAGACAAAGAGTCTACCACTTGAGCTACAACCCCAATTTGCTTTCCTTGTAGTTTGTCTTTCAGAGAGGGTCTCCCACTTTTCCTTGGGTTAGTTCAGAACACTATCTGCCTACCAGTGCTTCAGGAGTAGCTGGGATTACAACAGTGACCACCAGACCAGTCACATTACTTTATCTCAGCTAAGGGCCATTCTTGACTAAAACAATACTGTTTGGCTGACTTCATATTGAAAGTGACATCAGACTTTTCCATGTTTTCATTGTTTTCTGTGGATCATGGCTGAGAAGCCATTCTATGTCCAGATATGGTTACAATCCACCTACCTGTACAGCTGCCTTCCTCTGGGAGAAAATTCGGTGCTCAGAAAGTAGCTGTCCAGGGAAGAAAACAACCCAGGCATTAGAAAAAAGATCTATTCTTGTCACAGTAAGATTTGACTAGTATTTTCTTAAGCATCAGAAAACTGACAAGGCTTATTCGCTTATTCAAATCACAAGAATTGATCCAGCTGGAAATTGTCTTTTTTTTCTTTTTAAACTCATCAAAGTTTTTCTTTCAGTTTCTAAACGTGTATATGCCAGTGTGAAATGTACCTGAGTGAAGAATAGACAAGGTTTTTAAATAAAAGGCTATGGTTTACATGGTTGGCTTGTTTATATTAGAGGCAGAGTGGGTGAACTAGCAGAAAGGATTACATTTTTCAGCAGCAACTACCAGTCTGACGAGAACCAAAACACTCACAGTTTTTGAGTAGTTTCATCATACGCCAAGATCTTTATCACTTCCCAGTTTCCGGATGTTAGATGCCGCACAGTGATTTGCTCACTTTTACTCTGGAAAGAAATAGAAAATATTGATTTTCTTTTAATTTAAACAGCATCTCCCTGGTAAACACAAAAAATATGGAGACCCTGTGCTATAGTCAATTCTTTAATTCTCAGCTCACATTCCATTTCCTGTCCTAAATCTCAAGGATGTACACATTACTTGAGATGGAGCAGTGCCTTTATTACAGTGTGATGTGATAGAAAAACCATTCAGAAATCTCCCGGTTGAGCACATTATTCATTATTCTGGAAGTATTCAGTACCAACAGGAGATTTACATGGCTCCCACATACATGATGCTTGCACAACCTTATGAAGAATATATCAGAACACAGATTGCTGTAAACAAATAAAGAATGCAATTATCTTCTTAAATGTTTCCATGTATGCTTTAAGATTTGATGCTTTTCTGCAATAATTATTTTAGAGATGAATCTGTCTTGCTGAATCTTGGTGTTTATGGCCACAGTTCATATTCATTACTGTTATGGTATGTGATTGAAAAATGCCAGAAAATGGACATGTTGGAAACAACATGAGTTGTTTCCAAATGTATGCACTTTTCTAAAATTAATAACATATTTTCAATGTTTTTATCTGGACTTCAACTCTATTTTTTCCAATTTTACGAGTACATAGGATGTCATATGATGTTTTAAAATACATATAAATTGCATAATATTGGAATAGGGTAATCTAGTCTATCTCAAACACTTATAATTTATATACATTTTTGTAGACATAGTATTTTTACATATCTGGTACACTGTGATTCATTGATTCATTGTTTATTTCACTAATAATTTATTTTGTGTGTTTTCTCACTAGGTTTCCATTACAGTTATGTTTTGCTTTTTACTCATTTTTTGTTCAAAGAACTATATTTTTTCCTATTAACTACCATAGGATAGTTTTCAGTTCATAATCAATTTGATTTCTGCTCCAAGCATCTGTATATACATCTTTCTGTCTACATTGTTTTTTATTAATAGTTTTCTAGGTATTCAATTTTATAATTTAATTTTGCTGTTCTATTTTCATTTTGTAACTACTTATGGTACTGTATTATAGTCTCATCACAGATTCTCAGATAAGGTGTTACCACCATTCATTTCTTTATTAATATTTTATAAACTTTGGAATTTTGGGTTTGAATTTTCCCCGAAATTGTGCAGTACAAATAGCTTTTAAGCTTTCTTTTAAGAAAACCTGTTAACTATTTATTCTTAATTTTTAGGTTATTGCATTTACGATCCTAGAATTCTTTTTTAATAAGATTTTTATTATGGAAATACTGTACAGAGGGGTTACAGTTACATGAGCAAGGTAATGAGTACATTGCTACTGAATATTTAGTTTCATTCATATAATGAAATCTGTTGTAAAATTATTGTGTATCTCAAGCTTTATTAAATTTTAGGGTTCATTTGGCTCACTTTAATGGAGAATGCATAGTTTCTACATGTTTCAGTGTTATCAGTTACTATCTTGTTTTTTTGTGTTGTATGGTTCTTAGTAATATAAGTATTTTTCTTTTAATATGTGCTCATGTTTTGGTTCTGAATGTTATGATATTAGGGTATTTTCCTATCTTAATTATTTTGTTAAACATTTATATTGGATTATTTGTAATAAAAAAGCTACTAAAGCAGTTTTTCTGGTTTTGATGTGACTCTTTATCAAAAGTTCTTTTATGTTTTTATGTATCTATTTTGAATAAGATGTGTAGAAGATTTTCTCCTATTGTGTGTTTTCCTTCTAAACTTAGATATTCAGTTTTATAATATGTATAATCCTAGTGCTATATTTCTGCTTTAGCTTTACTATATATACATGTATATGGATATACAGATACATAAACATGCATATACATATGTGTACATCTGTACACACATGTATACATTTATACATATATGAATGTATACATACATATATGTTTACATATATAATATATATAGAAAAAAGTAAATATTATATATTTGTTTCTTCTGGTCCTGGGTTGAACTCAGAGCTTAGGGGCTTTCCCTGAGCCTCTTTGTTCTCAATGTTAGCATCTACCACTTTAGCCACAGCACCACTTCTGGCTTTTTTCTGAGTAATTTATTGAAGACAAGAGTCTCACCCAACTTTCCTGCCCAGGGTGACTTCAAACTGGGATTCTCAGATCTGAGCCCCTGAGCTACAGGTGTCCAGTTTATTTTTACATTAATAACAGTGCTCTTATCTCTCCAAAGGCCTTCATCAGATTTTAAATCATTTTTGTTATTTATTGTTGATACATTATAATTTTAAATATTGTTTGTCTCACATTTTTAATCTCCCTTAAGAATTCTTCTAAGTCATCAGTTTTTAATCTTTTATCATTACCAATTGTAGTTTCTTATTTTAATGAATTTTTAATTATCTTTATGAGTTACACAAAGGGTTTCAATTAAACATGGCCATTTGTGAATATGATGCAACTTTTAATATTTTTATTATCTTTAAGTAAATACACAAGAGGATATCAATACAGTATATCAGTTATAAGTACAAAGTGTCTTTCTTTCCTTTCTTTTTTTTTTTTTTTTGTCAGTCGTGGGTCCTGAACTCTGGGCCTGGGCCCTGTCCCTCAACTCTTTAGCTCAAGGCTAGTGCTCTACAACTTGAGCCACAGAGCCACTTCCGGCTTTTTTCTTTTTGCTTATGTGGTGCTGAGGAATCGAACCCAGGGCCTCATGCATGCAAGGCAAGTGCTCTACCACTGAGCCACCTTCCCAGCCCAGTACAAAGTATTTTGATCAATGTCACTCCTTCCTCCACTGTGTCTTCCAAGCCCTGCCATCCCATCAATTACCTTGTTACATTTCCACATATGTAAATTGCCTTTGTATTCCTTTATTTCCTTCTAATTCTATTCTTCTTTAATCTCTCTCCTTGTTACTTATTATCATATCTTCAGGAATCTCCATTTTCCTTTGTCTTCTTTCAATTGATTTGTTATTATTTTGTGTTATTTTCAATTTATTATTGAAATCTCTCACTTTTTAATTTGTAACTTCTTTTTATTTCATGAGGAAGCTATTCCTAAAAGTGTTTAAATTTGTGGGGCACCCATAACTCATACCTATTCAGGAGGCTGAGATCTGAGGATCAAGGTTCAAAGCCAGCCTGGGCAAGAAAGTCTGTGAGATTTTATCCCCAATTAACAACCAGAAAACTAGAAATGGTGCTGTGGCTCAAGTGGTAGAAGGCTAGCCTTGAGCTGAAGAGCTCAGGGACAGTGCCCAGGTTCAGAGTTCAAGCCCTACAACCAACAACAACAACAAAATGTGTTTAAATTTCTCACTTGATGTATAAATCTATATCTACAAGTGCTCACTTAATAATACTTGATTCGCCGGGCACTGTGGCTCAAGCATGTAATCCTAGCTACACAGGAGGCTGAGATCTGAGGATCATGGTTCAAAGCCAGCCCCTGTAGGAAAGTCCATGAGACTCTTATCTCCAATAAACCACTAGAAAACCGGAAGTGGCGCTGTGGCTCAAGTGGTAGAATGCTCGCCTTGAGCTGAAGAGCTGAGGGACAGTGCCCAGGCCCAGAATTCAAGCCCCATGACTGACAAAAAATAAAATAAATAAAAATAAAAATACTTGATTCATGCAGTTCTCTACTTCTTAGGTGTTTGTGTGGGTGTATTATGATCTATTGAAAAAAGACTCTTACTTTCAGCGCTCCTAGCATAGTAACTTTCTTATCTATGGTTGGTCATCTTTGTTATTTGGAAATATATAGAATTTTTCAGAATGGGCATTCGTTATGTTCAAGAAGGATTAAGTAATCTACTAGTTTTTCTCTTGCTAAAGATCTAAGGAGCATCAGAAGGGGGCACCATTAGGAATGGAAAGTGTCTTCAGGTAATCAATGAGTAACTTTCTCTGTAAAGTTCTGTAACTTTTTTTAATAAGTTTTTTATTGTGAAAATACTGTACAGAGGGGTTACAATTACATGAGCAAGGTAATGAGTACATTTCTTTTTTTTTGTTTTGTCAGTCGTGGGCTTGAACTCTGGGCCTGAGCGCTGTCCCTCATCTCTTCAGCTCAAGGAGAGTGCTCTACCACTTGAGCTACAGAGCCACATCCGGTTTTCTAGTGGGTTATTGGAGATAAGACTTTCATGGACATTCCTGCCCGGGCTGGCTTTGAACTACGATCCTCAGATCTCAGCCTCCTGAGTAGCTAGGATTACAGGCGTGAGCCACCATCACTCAGCTATGAGTACATTTCTTATCCAGCATTGTTGCCTCCTCCTTTGTTTTCCCCCTACCATTCTGTCCCTCCCACCTCCCCAACTACACCTCCTACCTCCCCCCCACCTCGCCTAAAATGTAAAGTTCCTTTTTCAAGATCGTCTTGTACATCTCATTGTTTCAATGGGTCAATCTGTATCCCAATTTAAACCTTTTGTTTTTTCCCTTCCCCTCCCCAAATTATACTCACATCAAATACAGTGAAAACAGGGGCTATACCATGGGGGAGGGACAAACAAAGCAACAAAAAAATCACGTGGTACCTTATAAATACGTTAAAAACAATAGCAAGGAATCAAAAACCACTTGTGTCCCTATCTTGGGGTTCATTTTGCTTAACATCATTTTATCTGAGCTTTTCTGTTTGTCCCAGACATATACTAGTTATTGCAAATAAGGGAAACCATGGAACCTATGTTTCTTTGGGCCTGGCTTACTTCACTTAATGTAATTTTCTCCAAGTCTTTCCATTTCCTAACAAATGGGGGCAATGTCATTTTTCCTGATGGAGGCATAGAATTCCATTGTGTATATATACCACATTTTCTTGATTCATTCATCTACTGAGGGGCATCTGGGTTGGTTTCATATCTTAGCTATGGTAAATAATGCTGCAATCAACATAGTTGTGCTGGTAGCTTTAGTATGGTCTTGTTTGTGATCATTCAGGTAAATGCCCAGAAGTGGGATTGCTGGGTCATAGGAGAGCTCTATGT